TCTCCTCGCCTGACCTATGGCTGGCATCTGACATAACTGATTGCCCTCCCCTTGCAATACTTTCTTGGCTTCCAGGACTCCCCATGCTCCCCTGGCTTTCCTTTTGATCTCGTTTTTTGGATCCTCCTCATGCTCCCAAACTTCAACATTGCAGTGTCTTGGAACTCAACTCTTGGATCCTCTATCTGCCCTCAAACCCCTGTGATCTAATACAATCTCATGGTTTTAAATACCACCAATACCATCCGTCTAGGTCTCCTCTGAGCTGCAAGTTTATATCCATCATGAAGGCAACTCCAGAATTCCTCCCTCACCCAGGAAGGGAGAACTCCAGCTTTTGATTACTCAGGATAAGAACCTTAGAGTCCTCCTGGACTTCTGTTTTGCACCCTATGATGTAATTCTTAATTTTCCTCAAGTATATGCAGTGCCACTTGCATGGATCTGATTCTTGGCCTTTGGTTTTGTTTCACTGGTCTAATTATATTCGTACAATGATATCACACTGTCATACTTATTACTATTTTGTAGTAAGTTTCCATTTGGTAGAGCACCTTAGCCCTCTTTACTCCTCTTCAGGAGTGTCTTTACTATACCTTTTTTTTTAAGATTTATTTATTTATTTATTTATTTATTTATTTGAGATAGAAGGGGTGGGGGGAGAAGGGGAGAGAGAATCCTCTCCTCGCTGAGCGCAGAGCCTGATGCGGCCCACTCCCAGAACCCTGAGATCATGACCTGAGCTGAAATCAAGAGTTGGATGCATAACCGAGTGAAAGACCCTGGTGCCCCAAGAGTGCCTTGACTATTCTTAGCTTTTGTGCTTCCATATAAATTGTCAGGGAGGAAATATAAAGACCTTACAATGTTATTGTTTCATTACTGCCCATCCAACTTATATGCTATTATTAATGTGTACACTGTACTTCTACCTTATTTTTTAAATTTTTTTCTTTTAAGTAAGCTCCACACCCAGTGTGGGGCTCAAACGCACAATCCCAAGATCAAGAGTCCTATGCTCTACTGACTGAGCCAGCCAGGCACCCCACTGCCTTATTTTTAACCCTATGAGACAGCATCATCATTGTTTACAGTAAAGATCACATAGGTTTTCCCACATATTTACCACTTTGTTCTTCATTCCTTCTTAAAACTATGGTTTTCCATATGGGATCATATTTGAAGTACATTCTTAGGATTTCCTTTAGTGAAAGATTCAGTTGGTTGCAGACCCTCAGCTTTTGTTTGGCTATAAATATCTGTATTTTATACTAATACTTCTATATTACATTTTTCTTGGGTATAGAATTCCAGGTTAGCATTCGTTTTCTTTTTGGCACATGAAGATAAACACATCACTGTATTCTGACTCCAACCGCTATGTGAAATCAATGGCCGATCGAACAGTCTCTTCATTAAAGGTAATTTGTCTTTTGATTTCTAACTACATTTGAGATTTTTCTTGTGTCTCATATATTCTACGATTTCACAGAGATAGAGTTCTTTTTATTTTTCCTGCTTGAATTTCACTGGGATTCTTCAGTCTCTGAATTGGAATTCTGTTAGCAGAACTAGCCGACTAGGAGACCAACAGTCAGTGTATTTCATTCATTACTATTCTCACCTCTTTTTCTGGTAGTGCAATTAAATACATGTGAAATCTTTTCACTCTATTAATTTCTCTTTTGAATTTTCAATCTTTTGCGTCCCTGTGCTACATTATGGATAATTTTTTCTAACCTGAACTGCAGTTCACAAATGATCTCTTCAACTATGTCTAATTTGTTGTTAAATCCATCCCTATTGTATGTGTGTGTATATATATACAATATTACGTATATATATATTTATATATTCATATCGTATATATTATTATATATTATATATTCACATTCATTGATATATATTCATTTCTAGAAGATTTATGGGCCGGTTTTCAAATCTTTAGGTCATTTTTAAAATAGTTTCTTCTTTTTGGGGCGCCTGGGTGGCTCAGTCGTTTAAGTGTCTGCCTTTGGCTCAGGTCATGAACCCAGGGTCCTGGGATAGAGCCCTGCATCAGGCTCCCTGCTTGATGGGCAGCCTGCTTCTCCCTCTGCCTGCCGCTCCCCCTGCTTGTGTGGTCTCTCTCTCTCTTTCCCTCTCTCTCTCTGACAAATAAATAAATAAAATCTTTAAGATAGTTTCTTATTTTTTGCAGATATTTTCAAACTGGACATTTTAACCTGTGACTGATATTTCCAGTACCTTTAGTCTTTGCCATCTCCCCGCACTGGTTCTCTTTCATTGCACTTTAGCTTCTTGTCTAATTGATTATTTTTAACTGCATTCTCTTCTTTGCCCTTGAAAAATTCTTTGGAGGGATTTTTCAAGGCCTGGTGTAGATTTGCCATCCCACAAAGAGAGCGTGTGCTTACTTCTGCTGGGCACCCGGAAGCACGACTTGCCCTGGACAAGGTCCCAGCCCCAGCCTCCCCCGTCCTCTCAAGTGACAAACCGGGCTGGAAGCCCATGATGGGGATCGTCCATGGCCACTTCTCAGGGACAGGGTTTTGTTTCCCTGTTTCTCCCTGTTCTACTTAGAGCCAGAACAATGTTCTCTGCTGTCCCATAAGTGGGGAGGGGGTGGATTTAGTGCTGCTTCACCTCTATTCTGAGAGTGTAGCTCTTGGTGGAGTTCCAGTGTAACTTGGTGAGAATTTCCTGTTAGCATCTCCACTTTGGGCCAGCCACACCCCATTTCTATCCTCTTTGCCCCATAAAACCACCAAAAACCAAAGCCCAAGTTTGCCTAGATGGGAAAATGTCCTCAAGGCAAAAGCAGTATTTTTTTAAAAGATTTTATTTATTTATTTGACAGCAAGAGAGAGAGTGAGTGAGGGAGAGAGCAAGCACAAGCAGGAGGAGTGGCAGAGGAAGAGGGAGAAGGAGGCTCCCCACTGAGCAGGGAGCCCAACGTGGGGCTCTATCCAGGACCCTGGGATCATAACCTGAGCCGAAGGCAGGCGCTTAACGACTGAGGCACCCAGGTGCCCCAAGGCAAAAGCAATATTAATGCCCGGGTATTTGTCTCCTTGGTTCCATTTCCCTTAGATGGATCTGTATTAGGAATAGCCTAGTATTCTTTACTAACCTATTAGCCCTTCAAGGCTTTAAGAAGAATGAAAAATATAGTCACCCAATATTTCTTATTTTCAGCAAGATGGGATGCTACAAATATCCTAACCTACCGCTACTGGAGAGAGAAGTCTATTTTATCAGTTTTCTTATTTATGTGTGTATTTGCTATCTTTGAACTCCTTAGAGAGATTATTTTATTTTCTACTCTATCCACAATGCCTAAGAACACTGTCAAGCATATACTTGGCACCCATTAAATATATTTTAAAAATTTCTTTTAAAAGATTTTATATTAAGTAACCTCTGCACCCAGCATGGGCCTTGAACTCAGAACCCCGAGATCAAGAGTCGCACACTCCAGTAACTGAGCCAGCCAAGCACCCCCAGTTAAATATTTCTTGAATGAGTGAATAAACTCTTTGACAACAATATGCACATTGCAGGAGGCTTTGAAATCCTAAATTAAACTTTATATCATTCCAGCTTAACACATTGCGATTCACCACATATTCTTGAATAAATTCTCCATGCCTTGCTCTTGTTAAGCAATGAGAAGGTAACAAATGCAGACTTCTCAATTTTGGCAAGGCACCCATCACCTCTGTCCTTCATCTGTGAAATGAGATGCTGAAATAGACGGTGCCTAGGATTCCTTCTCTTTTTAAATCTCTGAGACTAAGACACGGCTCCTGTTCTCAATGATCACAACAGCAATAATAACCTTGGGTCAGGGCCAGGGGTAACGCTGGTAAGTAGGTCCAGAAAGTGATCATGATTTCAGGCCCAGAATAAGCAATCCTCCCCCAACCCTACAACTAATGTGTAGTCCTGCTTAGAAATGTTATAAGGACACCGCACTCCTTTGTAAAACAGAAGTTCCAGCCTTGGTACCAGGAGGCATCTACCCATAAAGGGGGGGCAGGGGTCTCAGGGACCCAAGCTTAGTCCTCTGAGTTTCACCTTCTTGGGGCCTGCTTGCTCCACTCACTGTTGTCTCACCCATCCTGGCTCCCAAAAATGACCTGCTCCTACTCTATGGATCTGACTTGAACATGAATCACAGACCCATTCCTCATCTTCCCGGACACAGCTGAGACCCATGTGGGTCTTTTGAAAAGGCTCTTCCAAACTCTAAGGGAGAACACAGGGAAATAAAAACAGCAACTATAGGGAAGCTAAAGAATCAGGCTCGCACCGAGCCCACGCTGGCTGTCCTCTGTGGTTTCCAAGCTCTGTTCTATTCCACAAACCCTCATCTTACCTGGGTTACCTCTTCCAAGGTCTTGGTTTGTCTCAACATGGAAGGCATCATCTCACAGCCCAACCCGGAAGTTCCAACCTCAAATCCCTGTGCACAGGGCTGGGAAGATAGAACCTCCCTACCCTCTTCTTTCTGGGAAGACAGAACCCCTTCTGTAGCCATTCAAGGCCACTGACCCCCATCCCAGGTCAGAGGGAACCACCTTTTCCCCATCCCAGGTCAGAGGGAACCACCTTTCCCCCATCCCAGGTCAGAGGGAACCACCTTTCCCCCATCCCAGGTCAGAGGGAACCACCTTTCCC